GAATATAAAGACGTCCTCGCGATAGACATAAAAGTTAATATTATTGAATTAAAAATATGTTTCATTGAGTTGGATCAGTTATACGTGAGAATCCTATTAATATCTTCCCTTTTCGTTCAATTATCTAAACAATTACATTGTAAATTCGCATTTTTCTTCTTTCAAATTGTTAAAAAATGTTCGAATATTCTATTACACTTTAACTCTTAACGATGTTACCATTTTTAAAAACTGTATTTTAGAATAATGACAAGATTTCTTGTATCTCCCATAAGAGCTCGTGTATAAGGATATAAGTTTGACATAGATTTATTTACAAACTACGTTGTCAATCGTTCTGAAACTTTCGCACAATATTTTTCATGCTTCTACTAGTAGATTAAAATAATTTTCAAAACGATTTGATCATATTAATTCGAGTACCCAACCTCCTTAAATAGATCCTTTCTGAACATGTCTCTCAAGAGAAAAAGGCAATGAGAGGAAAAACGGTTCGATCGCGAATCGACGCGTCTCGATTTTGCTTACCGGTGAGTAAACGTTTTTTCAATTACGACACGTTTCATGTCGTCTGGCGCCGGTTTTATGGTCGCAGCCATAAAACCTTTAACGGCTGTGAAATCTAAGCAACGATAAGGCGCTGCCACATAGAATGCCATTTACTCGATCCAATCGGCTGGAAATCAATTCATCGTTCAAGCACACAGTACACTATATAACGTGGCAAACCCCATCCTTTTGTTATTCCAAATCCTCGCTCTTTCACTCATATTCTTATCATCTAAAATGGTTCTGTTAAAACACAAGAGTCTGCAGAACCTAATACGAAATACATACTCCATGCAAATCCTAGTGTCAACGATTCCTCCCATAAAAACAATTACAAAGAAATTTTAACAACCAAGAAATTAGGGATGATCAAGTAAATTCTTACTAAATCAGAGATCAAACCATAATTGCAAGATTCAGATGTGGGAATGAGGAACTGAATAATAAGTATTGGCTTAAGGAGAATGAAAGAGTCTATAGAGTATGTAAAGAGAAGCCAGAGACTTTAAGTCACGTGCTAAGAGAATGTAAAGAGATGGAAAGAGAAAACAAAGAAAGTCAGAGTGAATACACAAAATCGTAGAAAAAAGGAAGAAAACTAAAGACTATATTTACCACTTGCAACCTCATTTTAAGACCAAAATGTATAAAACAAATCTATTTACTACTACATCAAAATATCAACAATTCCTAAATATTGCATTAATAAAACACTGTAAAAAACTATCTTAAACTTATGGCAGTTCGTACAACCATAATTAATACGTATAAATAACTGAATTTGCAGTTTATCCATATTCATACAAAAAATAATTGTCAGACGATCAATGATGAGATTTGTCATGCCCGAAATTGACTATCGAACTGTTAAAATGAAAATGAGCAAACACGAGAACCGAGCGAAAATAATCATGCATAATTTATTAACTTTCGCGTTATCGTGACTTCTCCGAGCACAAAAGGTTTTCGAAGATAATCCATTTTAAAATGACAAAAGTAGCAGAGGATTATATTTTTCCTTCGGCACAAAGCGAATTAGCATGCTCGAATGTCGCTTAATTGTCCACGCAAAAATAACCGCACGTTCATACAAAAGCAGCTCGTTTCGCGACCTGCTAAATATTCGCCGGAAAAAAAGATTCCCCCGTGAATCGAATCTCAGGACAAAGAACGCGTACGCACCGTGAAAAACCGCGGTTAATATTGTTCAATCGCGGATTTATTAAACGCTTCCTTTTATTTCGTACGATTCGATGAACCGCGATGATATCGCTTTATTCTTTATGAAAACGCATCGTCCATTTCACGTCTATTACTGACGAGACTCACCGCATTTACGATTTTTACACGAAATTAGAACACTATAAGAAATATTTTACAAATTGTTATGCTATTAATTCATTTCCCAATACCGCGCGAGCGACAAACGTTTATTGGTATATTAATAAATAAATGGAAAAACAGGGAAAAAGGAAACCACCGACATCGACAGGATGGAATAAAAAACAAAAAAAAAAAAAAGAAAAAAAAGGAATGGTCGAACGCGCAAGTGGAACGTGGGTTCATTGTTGAACGGAAGGCCCAGTGCACGTTTTTATTGGCTCTCGAATAACTGAATGCATCGCGCCCTTCGCACTCGAATTAATTCGAGTTGGCGTGCGTTCCATCACCCTTTTCGCTTTTCAACCCTTGAAAATCCGAGCGATTCGAACTGAATGACGGTGAGGCCTCTATTTCACGGATTTCCGCCCCGTTGTTTCGGCTACTCTCGTATTTTTTTCATGCGCTTTTAAGGACGCTCGAGCTCCGTTTACGCGCGCTACGCAAAACTAGATATTTTCCGGAATCGATGATAAATTCAATTCGGATTGCGCATATATTTTCGCAATCAGGCAAATAGAATTTCAGGAAACATCCAAGAGCATATGTCCTGTAGAAACGTCAGAATTCATCGAGCAGTGAAAGGACTGCTTTCTCCCTATCACATTTATCCTGAGTTCATCCTAATTCATCGAGCACGTTTGTACGAACTCGAGTTTATTTGTGATCGAGCTTCTGTTTCTCGTCAATGGAAATTTTCAAATTTTGGCCACGCGTGCCTCTGCTATTTCCGACCCTTTATTTGTTTTCCCTCGCGTTTGTACAAATCTATTAAAATATTTCGGGGGGAATGCAGCGGCAGGTATGTAAAGATAGGCCTTGAAACGATGCAGGCTATTTAATCGTTGAATTCCCCGCGAGCTCGTCGATATCACCATCTGGTTTTCCATTACGCGCAGTCGTTGCTTCTGACATTTCGATGGCCGTCGTTTCTTATGAAACTTAATTTCTATCCAGTGAGCGCGCAGGTGTCAAATTAGAGTGTGTAATCATTAAAGAGAAAACGTTTCCTTACGAGGAGAGCCCAAAGAGTCTCGACGTGTAATTTTCAACTGCAACGTGTGCTATCAATTATTTATATCAACCGTCGATTATTCACTAATTTTCTGATCGCTTCAATCGACTTTCAATAATCGACTGATCGTTTCTTAATGTTACAGGTCGCAACGAGTTGATTGCCCGTTACATAAAACTGAGGACGGGCAAGACAAGAACGCGAAAGCAGGTCTCCTCCCACATACAAGTACTGGCTAGGCGAAAACTTCGCGAGATCCAAGCGAAACTCAAAGTGGTAAGTCATGATAAATAACGAATAAGTTATCTCTGCCCCAGTAGTACCGGCGCGCTTTTCTCATCTTTATTTTCTTTCTCCCTTCACGTTATTTTTTTTTTTTTTATCTACATAAGTTCGCACAGTTCTACACGTGAAAGATTCAATTAATGAAAACAATAAAAACTGAGAATGAAAATGCAAATTTCTTACAATAAGTTCAAACGTTTAATCGTCTAATATTAATCGAATAAAAAATAATTAAATTGAATCTTTCACAGATTTTTTTTAGCATCAGACACGACAGATCGACGGACGTATTAATTTTTGAATAATCCGAACACTTGAAATAATTGAAAAACGTAAAAAAAAAAAGAACGATGCGAGACGACCATTGAAATCAGTATTTTTAATTTCCTCCGTTTCCGGCACACGATTCTCATTCACGATTAGTTTATTATTTATTTTTTAATTTGCATCCGGCGACGCATTCGAAACGCGCGATACCCGCGGATACACCGAGTGTGCTGGATCAGAAGCGACGAGAGCGGTTTTGTAGAGGAATAAATCACGCGTAAAAATGAACCCGGGCCCCGTTTAATCAACAGCTGAATTATTAAAGCGATTTGGGAACAATTGCGCGGCTGTTAATAAATCACAGCACGTTGCGCCGCTTCCATTCGACGATAACGAACGATATGTACAAAAGGAGGTACAAAAAGAGAGAGGGAGGGTGCGCACGACAGAGAGAGAAAGAGAAAGAGAGAAAGAGAGAGAAGGGTAGACGCATTCAGTGGCATTGTTTATACAAGGGAACGGTCAATAGCCAGCGAGCGAATATAAAAAGAGGAGAAAACGGACGTGTAAATTAACCAATTCGAGCGTATTTTACGCAGTTAATCAGCGGTAACGCGCGAGTTTATTTCCGATTTAAACGTGCCAGAAAATTGGATAAAAAAAAAAAAAATAAGCCGACTCGAACCCGCTAGGGCGTCGCGCGCGCGCGCCTCCACGTTTATTTTGAAAAACTGCGATAGTGAAAAAAACTAAATCGTTTCAATTTTTCTGATCAACGACTATTAAGTGGTATAAACGACGGCACGTGTATTATATAACGGAAGGAAATAATGAGACTCTGTGGTGGCGCGTTCAGCAAATTTTTGAGGGTCAATAAAATTGAAAGCGGAAAAAGATAGAATTCTTGAGAGAGGGGGCGGCGTGCACACGCGTGGAACACGCTCCAAGTTGGAATTGCGGAGGCGACTGCATCTGCTACTGCAGTGGTCGCATACCGCGGGCATTATTCAGAGGAGGCAGCCGGTGTGCCACGGGACACGCGGTCCGGCACGGCACAGCTGGGGGGGCGGGGTGTGTGGGTTCCGGGGTGCGAGAGGCGAACGAACAACGACGCCTGTGCTCTGTACACGATTTATACACCGCGAGTAAAAGAATTTTTAGGCACGCTGTTTACGTTTCTCTGCGGTCGCGCCTTATTTAATTTCTACCCGGCCATTAAAGAACCCATTCGCGGCCGTATATTTTTTACCACCGACTGCGTCGGTTCCCCTTATCAAAAGGGTTACTCGCCCGGTAAACGACGCCACCGACTTGCCCGGCACGCGGACCTCTCCGATGATCATGTCCAAGTACAACAATCGCGCGCGCAACTACCACGTGAAAAATTAGTTGCAACAATGCGGGAAATAAACTGTGAGCGCAACGAGTCGAGAAACAATTTGAAAACACGCATTGCCGAATGCTTACAGTCAGACGCATAATTTCTCCATTCGTATAAACAGTTAAAAAATCGTATTCGATCGGCGGTGAAATTTAGATCGTAACGCGAAACGAGAAGTGAATTAATCGGTGAATTTTTCACCGGGAATCACGTTCTTCCGTGAATCAGAAGCCGCGCGCTCGCGCGCGATCTATATCTCCGGAATGATCCCGGGCCGGGCATTACGACGTAATTGATTGTTGCGGCGTAAACGTAACTGCCTCCTATATCTCTACGTCTCTCTATCTCGGACTATCTCTGTCGCCGTTGCCCGATAACCGACGATACACCCAAAAACGGGCGAGCGGCATTTCAGAATGTCGATAAACATGTCCGGCCCGTTACCCGGCCAATCCTGCATTCCGCGCGCGTATTTTGCGCGCGATCAGCACACGGGTTACCGGACGTAGAGAGACCGGGACGGCGAGCCCGGGGCGCCGGCACGCGGAAACGCGAAAATTGAAAGCGACAGAGAGAGCAAAAAAATAGTAGGGAAAAAAACAGCACGGAGAGAAAAAAATAGCACGGGGCTGGTAGCCACTCTCTCAATTAACCGAATTGATTTTCCACTGGAGATTCGCCGGTGAACAACGGTCCCGCGGAATGAAATGGATTTTTCGCGTACAGTCCACAATAATCGTTTTTTTTTTTTTTTTTTATTTACCCCCTCTTCGTGTCTCTGTCTATATACTTGATTCCGCGATGAAATTTGAAAATTCCCGTGCCTTCGAAATAATCAAACGATTTTTATTATTCATGATAAAAGTTCGTTTGAAATCAAAATCAGTTGATCGCCGAGCGATAACGATTCGTTATTCGTGGGCGGAGCTCGTAATGGCTGTTTGATCACGGATTTATGAACGAAATTGAAAAGGCCTGTAGCGGAGGGGCACGACCGTGAGCAACGGCGCGTGTATAGAGAAGAGGAGAGACGCACGGCAATTTCCCCGGGTCGGACCGCGTGGGGGGCAAACGGGACAACGGAAACGAAACCTCTCGTCAGCGATTTTCGACGCGACGCGGGGCGTTCGCGCTGATTAAAACGACGGAGTTTCCGATAAAAGCGCAAAATTCCCGCGAATTTCGCGAACCGAAACCAGACTTGTTTCTGCAATCAAACTGCATTGCCTCGTTCCACTCGATAGCGATCGATGACATCAACCGGCCGCGCGGCTCCGAGGGCTCCCGGCTAAAACAGTGACAGAAACGTGGTGAGGGACGCGCGCGGCACGGGGCCGACAAGCTACCACCCGGCCGGGGCCGAGAGGGGCGAGAAATTTATCGTCGAGAACGAAATTATGCGACCAACGAGGGGGAATCGTTTATCGATTTCATTTGATGGGCACGCGGTACGCAAAACTCGATTGCTTTTCGATCGCTGCTGATAGAAATATTTGATACTTCTGTTGGTAACCCGCGTTACATCTGCTTTATATTAAACCAGAACCGTCTCTCTTTAATCACTCATAAGTCAATCGCCATAATTCGTGATCGCTTCTGATTCTTTCAGAATCTATTACATGCCCTCCATGGACTGTGCGCATTTAATGTAGATACGAAATCGCGATCACGAGTAATCAGTATAAAAAAACCACGATTACGTCTGCCAATGCGAACGTTTATATG